CCTCTTATTTTTACATATGGTGAAGATGGCTTTAGACTCGGTATTAATAAAAGAACAACTCCAGCTACTTCAAAGCATAAGAGGCAGAATATCAGTATGAGGCAATGGTACGCTTTTCGGATTCATGAAAGGGAGGGAGAGAGTCATACTCTTCTTCATTCTAAGAGGTTGTTCTAGCAATTCTTGGTGGATTCCTACACTACAATCGAGTATAACAGACTTTGTTATCTGCGAATGAATCAGAAGAGTCTAAGATCAGATTCTTTTGACTCTATTCAACAAGCTGAGAATGATGGGAAAAGTGATATGCACGACCAGGGAAGTCGTTTTCTGTTGCCAGCTTTATTTACTGGAGGACCAAGATACATGAAGAATATGTATTTGGATGCTATGGCGATTTGCAAACATTTTGGTTTTCCTGATCTATTCATAACCTTTACTTGCAGCTCTAAATGGCCTGAAATTACCAGGTATTTATAGGCCCGCAAGTTGACTGCAGACAACAGACCTGATATACTTTGTAGGATTTTCAAAAGGAAACTTGAATCTCTGATGATTGATTTAACAAACACAGAGCTATTGGGAAAAACTGTGGTATGTGAGTATTTTTATTTATCAATTATTTCTTCTTGCTAATTTTCCAAGTTATTGTTTTAATTTTCCTGTTTGTTTCTAATGCAGCTATGTATACCATTGTATTCCATAAACGTGGTCTCCCTCATGCTCACATTCTACTGTTTATGGCACATGTCTCTAAGTTTCCTAAAACCAAAGATATCGACAATATCATATCAGCTGAAATTTCTGATAAAAAGAAGGAACCTGACCTATACCAAGTTGTTAAAGATATGATGATTCATGGTCCATGTGGATCTGTCAACATTAATTCTCCTTGCATGGAGATGGTAAATGTTCTAAGCTCTATCCCAAAGCGTTTGCTGAGAAGACAACGGTTAACAGAGAAGGATTTCCTGTCTACCGAAGAAGAGAATAGTCTGATCATTTCGTTGAGAAAAATGGCTTCAAATGTGACAATACATACGTCATTCCTTATAACAAGAAACTGTTACTTCGATATAGAGCTCACATTAATGTTGAATGGTGTAACCAGACTGGCTCTATTAAGTACTTATTTACGTATATTAATAAAGGTCAGGATCAGTGTATTGTAGCTGTTGAAAGTAGAGAGAAGATTACCAAAAAAACACGAAAATGTTGAGAATTTCTCTACTGAACCTGCTTCAACGGAGGAGAAGAAAAACGAAATCAAAGACTTCTTCAACTGCAGGTATTTGTCAACATTGTTATATTAGTATATTAATCTATATGAGTTATTTTCGTATATATAGTTTATTAAAATGATAAATGTGTTTATTATTCAGATAAGTATCAGCATCTGACGGTTCTCCGAAGAAGAGAACAGTCTGATCGTTCCGTAGCAGTTGAGAGAATTCAGTTTCATTTACCTGGAAAATGGATTATTGTTTTCAAAGATGATGACACATATGAAGAGATTACAAACCGGGTTCTGACTGAAGATACCATGTTTTTGGGCTGGTTTGAATTAAACAAGGTAAACGCTTTTTCTCGGACACTCACTCTAGCTGAAATTCCTATTTGGTTTATCTGGAATAAAAAACAATGCAAGTTTACTGATAGAAAAAGAGGATACAATATTGGTAGAATCAACTACGCCCCAAGAAAAATTGAACAAGCGTTTTATATGCGTGTCCTCTTGAATATTGTAAGAGGTTGTACATGTTACGAGGATATTAGAACGTTTAACAACGTTGAGTATTCGTCTTACAAAGAGGCATGCTTTGCTCGAGGTTTATTAAAAGACGACCAGGAATACATTGATGATATTGTGAGGACAAGTTTTTCGGGCTCAGCGTCATATATGCGTCAATGTTTTGTGATCATGCTCATGTCTGATAGTCTTTTGAAGCCAGAATTTGTTTGGGAAAATGTTTGGGAATTATTATCTGAAGATATTGAGTATCGTCGAAGAAAGCTATTAAATAGGCCAGGTATTTTTTACTCTCCAATATTACACTCATTTTTGTCCTCGGTATACACAATATTAATCGGAGGTATTAAGTTTTGTAGATTTATATTTGAGTGAAGAGGAGATAAAACAACTAACTCTTCACGAGATTGAGAAGATTTTGAAGAGGAATGGTACTTCTTTAGAGGCATGGGAATCTATGCCAGAGCCAATAGCTGATTTTTCTCTCCAGGAGAATGTTTTGATTATGGACGAGCTTGGATATGACAAAGAGCAGTTAAAAGCTGATCACGATCTTGATTTAAAAAAAAAATGACGGACGAGCAGAGAAAGATATATGATGAGGTTCTTAGTGCTGTCTGAGAAAAGAGATGAGGTGTATTTTTTGTCTATGGGTTTGGTGGAACTGGGAAAACATTCTTGTGGAGATTGTTGTCTGCTGCTATTAGATACAGAGGAGAAATATGTTTGAACGTTGCATCCAGTGGGATTGCTTCTTTGCTACTACCAGGGGGGAAGGACAGCATATTCTATATTTGGGATACCACTTAATCCAGATGAGTTTTCTAGTTGCACTCTAACTCACGGAACAAACCAAGCGAATTTGATTAAAGCAGCTTCTCTGATTATTTGGGACGAAGCCCCGATGATGAGCAGGCATTGTTTTGAATCATTAGATAGGAGTATGACTGACATTGTTGGGAACAACGACAATTTACCTTTTGGTGGTAAAGTTGTTGTCTTACGGGGAGATTTTAGACAGGTTTTGCCTGTAATTCATGGAGCTGGAAGAGCTGAAATTGTTTTGGCATCTTTAGATTCTTCTTATCTTTAAAAGCAAGTCAAAGTGTTGAAGCTGACAAAAAATATGAGGTTGATGTCTAACGATTTATCTCCTGAAGAAGCTAGAGATTTGGAAGAGTTTTCAAAGTGGATATTAGATATTGGAGATGGAAATATAGGCGACAACAATGATGGTGAGGCTCTAATTAATATTCCAGATGAGTTTCTTATTCTTGATGCAGAAGATCCTATTGAGTCTATAAGCCAAGTTGTGTATGGTGATGTTGTTTCTTTACAGCAGAATAAAGAGCCTAAGTTTTTCCAAGAGAGAGCAATCTTATGTCCAACTAACCAGGATGTCGAGAAGATCAATCAACACATGTTGGATAAACTCGATGGTCAGTTATTGTTTTATGTTATCAATATTATTTGTCAAATTGTACATTCATATACCAAGTTAACATAATAATTTTTTTATAAATATTTCAGGTGAGGAAATGACCTTCCTAAGTTCTGATACAATAGATGCTTCAGATAAATATTCAGTTAACGATCAAGCACTTACTCCAGATTTCTTAAATACCATTAAACTCTCAGGTTTGCCAAACCATAGTCTTCGCTTAAAGATTGGTTGTCCTATTATGTTGCTCAGAAACATAGAACCCACTGGCGGATTAATGAATGGGACGCGACTTCAGGTTACAGAGATGTACCCTACCATTATAAAGGCAAAAGTTATTACAGGAGATAAGGATAAGGTTGGTCGAGTAGTTCTTATTCCTGGGCTTGCTATAACCCCTTCTGACAAGAAGTTACCTTTCAAGATGAGGAGGAGGCAACTTCCTATTTCTGTTGCTTTTGCTATTACAATCAATAAGAGTCAGGGAAAATCTCTATCAGAAGTGGGCATCTACCTACCAAAGCCTGTTTTTTCTCATGGGCAATTATATGTGGCTATTTCAAGAGTTACATCCAAAAAGGGGTTGAAGATTTTAATTGTGGACGATGAAGGAAAGCCTCAGAGACAAACATTGAATGTCGTTTACAAAGAGATCTTCCAGAATCTCTGATTTTTTCGATAATGTTGTATACAATTTAAAATTTTATACACTTTAGAATAGTATTTCCAATTCTTGAATGAGTTTGATCTTTAAAATTTAGTTTAACTTTCGTTTTCAAAAGTCTATATTATATTATGAACCTAATATGATACCATGCAGTCAAATCTACACAATTTAACTAACAAATCATTCGACTTTATATCTAAAATAATCTCATAATGAACATGATCATGTATTTCGTCGCATCATATATTTTTTTATCTAATCCATTTCAAAAATAGATGCCAATTTATGACCTAATTATATTGGGTTTCTTAATTATTAATATCTAATGGGCTATTAGTCAGATTACCTATTTATGTTAAGCCTTGAACGGAACTGATGTTTAGGTTTAGTTCTTATCTATATAAGACTCTTCGATTGACTACAATAACCATAATATCTCGCCGTTTATCTCTCTCTCATCGGAAAACGGTACGATTTTCTTTCATTGTTCTTTCTATTCTATTGTTCGTTAGTAGATGTTGTTCTGTTGTTAGATATGTTCTATCTTAAACTGTTTCGAAACATCCTTGCATAAACCGTCATAAAAGTTATGTGTTCATAGTTTATTGAATATTGTCATTCTAGGGTTATAGTATCAGTTCCATTGTCTGCAAATTTTATAAATCTGGAAAAATACATGGAATCTAACTATAGAGAATATTTGCTGGGTGTTTATATATATTTTACATGCATTTTTCTTAGGGTTTACTATATTTCCATATATGTTTCCTAAAATATAAAGTTTGTTTCATTGAGTATTTTCATCATAAAGCGGATAAGACATGCTTTCTGTTGTTGGATCTGTTCTGCCTTCAATTGTAAACCGTATCTAGGTTACAAATATTTTTTTATTGAATATTGTAAGTCTAGGATTAGATTTTCAGTTACATATATGTTTTTCGTTTTATGAATATTTTATTAACAGTTTTAAATTTAGATGAAATATATTTATCATATATTGGCAGTGTAGGGTTAGATTTGAAATTATGAATATCGCTCATAATTAATTTATGTTATATCTTACGGTTTATTATATTTCCTTATTTGTTATATTTATTTTCTAAAATTTATTATTTGTTTGTTGAACATTGAGAAGTATCTCAATGGCAGGTAACAAAGATCTCAAAATGAAAGGTCCACTCATGGAGGAAGAATCACAAACTGTGAAGGAGGCTTACCAGAGGGGTAAGTTCGACACCATGAAGCATTACAGGGCTATGATGATTATGTATCGTGACCAGACAAGAGCAATTGAAGCAAGGCACTTGGTCGAATTCAATAAGGTTCGCCTTCAGGCGAAACTTGAGTTCCTCCATGAATGTGAGTCTCTTTTTTCCATGTACCATGAAAAGAAGAAGACCGAGTTCGATTTGGCCCTTGGTGAATCCAAACTTGAAGATGTTCGTGTTCCTACTATAGATTGGTTCAAGCTTGGTGAACCAATAATGTATGACTGAGCATCTAACATATCCCTATCTCAAACTTAAATTTTTAAGTTTATTTTAAATCTTTTTTTGTTTAAGTTGAACTTTATATATCGGTTGTTTCAACCGGTATTTTTATTAAACACTTTATTATTAATGTTTATTATTGCTTGATTTACTCTTCTTACTTTATTTATTGCTTGATTTATTCATATTTATGGCGTCTTAGTATTATTTTTCTTCACAGAAAATGGTTTTAGTTATGTTTAGTATAGATTGAAATGTATTTAGAAGTTTAATGATTAGATACACAATATTAAGGCTCTCACTATTAAACAACTACTAGATTTTTAAACTGGTAGATTTTTCTTATTTTGTTATCTTAATTTTATAATATATGTTTATTATTATTTTGTTTTGATATTTCTGAAATGTGCTTTTGATATGATTGACAAATATCTCAACTTTCAAAACGTTTCTTTTATGGTTTATACTTCAATGATGTTCTTTCCAAGACGTAATGATTTGACATTATAGTAATGAGAAGATTTTGGCACCAAAATATTTCGTATATATATTGAGTTTATCAATGCAAGATAATCATTACTGTTTTTGACTTTTTTCTCTACATGCAAAAATCAAATATAATAATAGGATAGTTTATTAATATTCTTTTGAGATTATCTATGCAGTGGATTGTTTAAATAGGATAAGGCTTTTGTTATAATACTATTTTAAATATTTCAAATTTTACACTATTTTGAATTGTGATTTTTCATTTTAGATCATGGTTTATCTTCAGAATCATCTTCGTTTTTAAAACTATTTGTTTTGAATCTTAGATGTTATTATTTTTCAAATAATTGGAATTTGATTATGGGCTATATTTACATCCATTTTATAGTAAGAATGTGAGCAAGTTTACTATGGGCTTTCGCTTGATCCAATCAAATTTCATATACAAAAATCATATCCAACTAATTTTCACATACAAATTCCATATACAAATCTATCACATACAAATTCCATATAAAAATCTATTACATAATATATTATATATACTCTGTCATTAGTCAGTTAGTTTCCATAGTTGGATATGAAATCTCATTTTCAAAATATCATACATAAGAAATCACACATAAGAGAAATGTCAATTTTCTCAAGATGAGACAAATCTTACGATATCAATACTGTTTCCATAATACCAGGAACATATATTGCACAACATATATAAATCACATAGATTCACATAATATGATAGCTTTTATCAGTCAAAAGTTTAAAAGTATTTAAAGCTTTTCTAAGAAATATTAGTAACGTGCAAAAATAAAAGCTCAATAATGGCAAAAACATTTAATTTCGACAAAAAAATATAGGTTATTAAATGAAGTGTTGCAACTATACAAAGCTCGGTTTTCTTCTTTCTATAAAATGGAATCTCTACCGTCTCCTATCAAAATCTCTTTTTCTCCAGATTTTTCTCAGCAAACCAGAAGAAAACGTTTTGTAAGTTATTTTTTTTTTTAGTTTTTATCATTGCAAGTAGAAGTGGAATCTCTACCACCTCCTATCAACATGCATAATGCAATCTCTTTTAGTTTTTCCTCTGTTTCATATGGAATCAAACTTTGTTACCTATTTTTTTAGATCTTTCATTGTTGAACGAAACATGTTGTTTATTTTGTATAAGATTATAGCACCATGAGAACATGCATTAACTGATCAATGAGAGTTGATAAGATCCCCGCCTAAGTTTGTTAAGATTTCTGTCATGACAAACGGTTATCTTTCATATATATATTCTCTTTTAATATCGTCACTGAGAGTTAAATGTTTTGATGGTGTTATACATCTTTTTTTTTTGTCTAACATAATTTCCATTTATATGAACATGCAGATCACGATTTAAGTATGTCTTCGCACCAGTTTCATGGATCAATGTTGCAAGAGGCTTACACGTCTGGAATGAATGATAGGACTAATCATTACCGAAAGATTCTTAACATGTACATGAGGTTCCATAAAGCCGTTGTTGCGAAGCATAATGCTGAGGTGGAGGTGTATCGCATTTCCGGTAAACTTGAACTCTTTGAAGAGATTTTCAACGATGGCGTTATGAACCATGTTAAGGACAAGCTGGAAAAGGAACTTGCTCTTACTCATGCCCGTCTTGCTGATGTGAAGGTTCCCAATCTCGATTGAGAAAATCTAGGAGAGCTACAAATGTGGCATTAAGTGATCTCTATCCTCATCTCTTATGTTTAAAGGTGTTATGGCTATGAACTTTTTAACTGTTGTCTGGTTTAGAAAACCTGTGTTTTTAATATTTTGAACTGGAATGCTGAACCTAATGTTTTTTATGTTACAAGGCTATCTTTCTTAATGTCTCGGATAAATGTTTTTCGGATTCTCGGTTCAGTCACAAACTGACCCGGTTATGCATAATCCAATTAAAAGACTCAACAAAAAGGTTAAATATACATCACATTCAAACATAAAAATCTCATATAATACTAATCTAATCATTTCATAAATTTGTTACAACAAAAACAAAGCCCGCGTTTCTCAAACGCGGATCAAAATCTAGTATTCATGTATAATAAAAGAAATAAGAAGGAACAAAAAGAAAAAAAATATTCCTTATAAATAGTAAATATTTTTTAGGAACATTAGGAAATGTATTATTCCTCTTAATTCTTTGGTCACCATTAATATGCTAAGTCAAAGATTTAATCACAAAATACTTTTTTCCTCCGAAATGTTTATGGGAACGTCTTCTTACTAATCACTCCAGTCTTCTGTAGTTCATGGGTCTTAACAATTTCTCAATCTTCAAGAGAACGTCTTCTTCTATCAAGGAATTTTTTTTTTGAAACATTTCTACCAACGATTAAAAATCGATTCTTCCATGAGTTATTATTCTAGAATTTTTTTTTCCAAGATTGAAGCTATTGTGTCTCAGACATCAGTTTCTTACAACTGATTTTTGTGAGTTACCTACATAAAATGATTTGGTAATATGAATGTTGTAGTATAAAGCTACAACTAAAAAAGGATAATTATTATGAAACATAAAATAAAATGAAAATTTGTGTTTTGTGCTCCAGAAACAAAAGACATCTCAGAGTTTTTGTGTTTGTTATGTATAACTTAATGCACTTAGAATTATTAGGTTAATTTCCCTAGCTTCATGAGATACATATAACAGTTTAAAAAAGATACATTTACTTATAGATTTTATTTCTTCCAATGTTTTATGAGTTCTACAACATTTTGCTAGGTTTGGGTGTTTCGGCTCTTATTGATGTAAAATTGCTATATACAACTATTAGATGCATTATATTTTGAGTCTGATTTTCACACACATATATACATCTTATTTCATACTCTTATTTTTTCAATTCGTAAAAATTTTGTTTATAAATGTATAATATTAATAAAATCACTCATATTTTTCTTGCATGATCTGTGAAATTATCCTTTTTAGTGAAATTTACATATAGATATTTCATTCCTAAACATAATTTTCATAATTTTGTGGATATTTCACAGATTTATGAAAATTATGTTTAGGAATGAAGTATCTATATGTAAATTTTTTTAAAACATTTTGAAAAAGATATTCATAAAATATAATTTGTTACCAATTAAAGTATAGTTGAAACCCAAGTAATTGATGTACTATTAAAAATATATAATTGAATAAGATTAAAATAGCCAATCCGCGCGTAGCGCGGAAAAACGATCTAATATACATAAGCTCTACAAACGAGTCCACATAAACCACACTGAAATTAAGATAAGCCCAAATGATGAAATAAGAAAGAGTAATAACTTTTTTTCGACACTTATATTAATTAAACCGAAATAGTTAGTTGGGAGCAATAGATGTCTCCCCACCAAACAGAGGTACAGACGCATTTAAAGCAACTTTTGCCAGCCAATCGGCAACTACATTCCTCTGATGAGGTATCCAAACAAAAGAAACAAACTCAAACTCAGTCAACAGAGCAAGAATATCAGAGATAACACTATGAAACTATCAAAAGTAACAACTTGATAAGAAAAAATAAAAAAGAGTATAACAAGTAGGGTTATGAAAGTTTTTAAAATCTCTAGTCTACAGTATACAATAGAACCTTTATAAATTAATACTCGATAAATTAATATACATTAAATATCTCTATAAAATAATATAATTTTATAGTTTCAAATTGAGTTTTTGGTTCGATTAGTATATCGATAAATTAATATCTCTCTAAATTAATAAAAAAATAAAATTTTTGATGTAGTCCCAACATTATTAATTTATAGAGGTTTCACTGTATATACTTTGAATATCACTATAAGACTATGACGTATGTCAATAATTTTCTGGAATCATTATAACAAGAGGAATATATGCCAATGTTTTGAATCTATACTTTTAAAACAGAATTCATACTAGAATTATGTCATTGGCTTATCAATTATTTACAATGACACATCACTCTTTAATCCTAATTACCAATTTAAATCATTTATTAACAAAACTTTTACCATATGTTGTGGAGATTATAATCTTTTGGAACTGAAATGTGATCATAATCCAATTAGTTTCAAACGTGATAAATTTATATAATATTATTCAAGATTCATTATAATATAGAAAATTCATAATTAGCCGGTCTGATTTAGATAGGAAAAACTATTTGGTAATTTATTTCGACCACTAAACAAAGCGAACATAATCTTAACTCCTATAGCTTTTGTTTAATTCGGTTAACAAAATATGCTATACGTAATTAACTCTGAAATTAACATATTTATTTAAATTGGACTTTGTATCAGAATCTTCTATGTACTCGTTCAGAATGTTTTGAATTAGATATTTACCTATTTACAACTAAAATTTTCTTATTAAATAAAATTATAAAATATTTTAATCTTTTTTTCAACTCTGCAGTTCATAAAAGAATTATTGTGCCAGGTACAAAACAATATCAAATAGCAAAAAACAAAAACCAGAAACATAAACAGAGTCTAAAACTCATCCATGTCAACATAACCATCAGTTCCACAAGAAGCATGTCTTCTTCGAACTACCAAAGTGAACCTCACCATATGAAGCATTCCACATCAAGGCCTCACCTGCTTACCCTTTCTTCCTCAAAACACCTTCTCATCCATTCCGGAACCCCTTAAGTCACATAAGATTGTAAACGTTGTTCCATCACCACACTTCTTGCAATCAAGAAAGCACTTTATTTGCCTCTCTTGATATTGACTGCAGCTCCCATTCACCCAACCTCTGTAATACACCAACAATCTCCATATTTGAACCCCTAAAAGCAGGCCAAGCCCCGTGGCCTCATAGTGACACCCACCAACTGAAAAATCACTTTATTGATCTTATGAGAAGCCATGCTTTCAATCGTCCACGGTAAACCAAGATGTTTCTAATAAGGAGTCAGTTCCACTAAAAGCCCTTCTACTGTGCAATTCAACCACACTAGTGTTTGTTTCTTACAACTTAGGAAGTCCCCGCCATTTTCTTACTTTTGGACCATGTGACGCCTATGTTGCATTTTAAGAACCCAGCGACAGGTGCTTTCCACTTCTGCACCTGAATATTTCTTCTACGGCAAGTTTCGTCAATGTTCACAGTTGGAAGATGAACATCAAACCATTGTCTCACATCATCTTGAATTTTCTCCACTGTATCCTCAACTTCGAACTCTTTTCTTTCAAAAACAAAAGCATTCTTATTTTTACAAAGCATCCATAGCACCCATGGAAAGACCCCAATAAGAGCTACATGGACCTCCTTATTCAATGGGATTTTTAGTAGATACGCAAAGTTCTCCGGTAAAGATTGGTTCTCAAAACCTCTAGGAAAAAAAGAAACTCAATTTGCGCCCATGGTAACCATGCCACTAGACAAACAAATATTTTAGTCAAACTAATATATATTAAACTTACAATGAATATTTCATTAAAACTAAAATAAAATAATTTTCTTTTAAAATATGATCATGTATTATATCACGGATTAGACCAGAAAATATGACTTTAACTTCTATTTATAAATTTATGACCGAAAAGATAAAAATATACAACTATACAATACTCAAAATTACACTTATAATAAATCATTTTCATATAAAATTTATATAATTAATTATTATTATTTTTAATTTTGTGCATACTGTAAGTAAAATAACAGAAAAATAAGAACATCAGTTTGGAAATTAAATATGTTTATTATACTTTTTATCAAATAAAACTTTTGACAGTAATAAAAGAATTCCGCGTTTTGAAAAGCGCGATCAAAATTTAATTTAAATATTAAATTGATTAATTATATTATAATATATTGTTATGGGTTTAATTTTTTTTTTGTTCACAAGACTTTTTTTTTTTGGTCACTGTTTTGTTCACAAGACTTATTTTTTTCAAAAAGCAAATACGAAAGATTCCTTACCATATGCTACAAATCATTAATTAAAAGAGTATTATTTATTTATTTCTATATTTGTCGTTTATAGAAAGTAATATTATTTTTCAAGGCAAAAAAAGTAGATTCAAATAAAGTGTGTCGTATTATGCAAAAAAACATGTGTCCTGCTGGATCTGTATGAGCCAATTAAAATCTATAATAAGCAGAGCAGGAGGCTTTCTACTCGGATCTGCTCTCTCCATTGCATCTGCTTCAACCCCGCCGCCTCTAGCCACCGCCGCGTCTTCCTCACCCTCCGCCGTCATGGAAACTCACAAAACCAAAGTCTGCATCGTCGGAAGCGGTCCCGCAGCACACACAGCGGCGATCTACGCAGCCAGGGCGGAGCTCAAGCCTCTCCTCTTCGAAGGATGGATGGCCAACGACATCGCCCCCGGCGGCCAGTTAACGACCACCACCGACGTCGAGAACTTCCCGGGCTTCCCCGAAGGTATCCTCGGCATCGACATCGTCGAGAAGTTCCGGAAGCAATCTGAGCGATTCGGTACGGAGATCTTCACGGAGACGGTGACCAAGGTTGATTTCTCCTCGAAGCCGTTTAAGCTCTTCACCGACTCGAGAACCGTGCTCGCCGACGCGGTGATTATTTCCACCGGAGCTGTGGCGAAACGGTTGAGCTTCACCGGATCTGGTGAAGGCGCTGGAGGTTTCTGGAACCGAGGGATCTCGGCGTGTGCTGTATGCGACGGAGCTGCTCCGATCTTCAGGAACAAGCCTCTGGTGGTTATCGGCGGCGGAGATTCGGCCATGGAGGAGGCCAACTTTTTGACCAAGTATGGATCTAAGGTTTATATAATCCATAGGAGGGATACGTTTAGGGCGTCGAAGATTATGCAGCAGAGAGCTTTGTCGAATCCTAAGATTGAAGTGATTTGGAACTCTTCGGTGGTGGAGGCTTATGGGGATGAGAACGGGAAAGGCGTTCTTGGGGGTTTGAAGGTGAAGAACGTTGTTACTGGTGATGTGTCGGATCTCAAAGTGTCTGGATTGTTCTTTGCTATTGGGCATGAGCCAGCTACCAAGTTCTTAGATGGGCAGCTTCAGCTTGATGAGGATGGCTATGTTGTGACCAAGCCTGGTACCACTAAGACGAGTGTGGTTGGTGTGTTCGCTGCGGGAGATGTGCAAGACAAGAAGTACAGGCAGGCTATCACTGCGGCAGGAACTGGTTTGTTCTTCACTTTTCCTTTTATATTTCTACATAATAAGATAACTTTTTGGAATAATGACTGGAGAATATCATAGAGTTACTGATATTTGATTTTTGCTTAATATCATTGTGGTTTAAGGAACCCGTTTATGTTCTTATGATGGAACCCTTCTAGCTTTTTGAAAGTCATTAGCTTCTTATGATGGAAACCTTTCATGTGCTCAAAGTGCCTTGCTTTTTTATCATTTGATTCACTTAAAAGCTAGAGTGAGACATTTTAAAGTGGTTTCAGGAGTATTTTATTATTGAAGTGGACAACTTTTTAAAAAATTTTTTTATCAATATTGTTTGATTGTTCTGTTCAAAATAAGCTGGGTTTTTGAAAGTCATTAGCTTTTTATGGTGGAAACTTTTCATGTTCTCAGAGTCCTTGGCTTTGTGTATTATTTGATGCACTTAAGTAAATAGTTTGAGACATGATTTATGTTTGCTTTAGAGTGGTCGTGTGGTGTACGGTTAAAGTCATTAGCTTCTTATAGTGGAGCCCTTTCATGTTTTCAAGGTGCCAGACTTTGTATCATTTGATAAACTTAAATAAGTAGTCGGAGACACTATTTGTGTTTACTATAGAGTGGTCTTCTGTGGTGTGCGGTTTAAGGCTAGTTACTTTCATTCTTATACTCTTTAGTAGACTAGTAGTAGTGGTCATTTATTGTTCTTGGGAAGCCTGCAAGTTAAATTAAACTGTTTCAAGGCTTGTTACCTTAATGTTCTCTTGCTATAAGGTAAAATCAGACATTTTAGCTATTTCCACAGTCTGGTGTGTGGTCTTTGAACTCTGACTAGTATAAATCAGATTGTTCTAGAGTGACTACTTGGTTGGTTCCATGAAACCCAATTTGCTTACATCTGTAGACAATCTTTCAAATGTTTTTCTGTAGACAATTTGCTTACATCTGTAGACAATCTTGTAACTACATTCTTACACGACTCTGATGACAATTCACGGATGTTGCAGGGTGCATGGCGGCTTTGGATGCGGAGCACTACTTACAGGAGATTGGATCTCAGGAGGGTAAGAGTGATTAGAGAAGATGTAGGGGAAGGACCCAATTATAAGAAATAAGCTATTTCACCAATAAATGATCTAAAAAAAACAATGTGAGGGATTTTGAGTTAGAGTTTATGTGCGTTTGCAGTTGGAGTTGAGACTCGATTGTGTGCCAAGTTGTAACTCTTTAGTAGTTACAGCTTTTCGACCATTGTTCTTCATTTGTTGTTTCCTCAGGTGAGGATTTTTTAGTTAATTTGATTGTGTTTTTTTCAGCTTAAATTGAATGAATGGATTGGTGGAGTCGTTAGAGCTGGTGAAACTATGGAAATGGTTTTTTGTAGACAAGGTAAAGAAAAAAGTACAAAATTTAGTAACAAAATTAATTCTCTTAAAAATAGCATAATCGGCGGGCGAAGAACATAAAAAAATTTAGTTTTCCTCTTTCTGAAGAAAACAAAACACGCAATGGTTTTAAAATGTTACGTGAGACTTAGTTTAACAAGACTTAAAATGAATCTGAAATTGTTGGGACCTGCTTTTTGAGCTGGGCCTGACACAATCCAGACTTTTTTTGTTCCTAATAAGTAGTGCTGGGCACAATTGTTGGATATCCGGTTTGTATTCAGTATTTGGCTCAGTTTTGCCAGAAAAAAAAAACAATTACCTGATACAATCGGGAAAATGGGTATTTTAATCCCCAACTATTTAAAATTAGCAAGTTTAATACTGAACTATTACTTGCACGATTTAAGTCCCCAACTAAACGTTAACTTAGCAAATTAAGGTTTTAAAAAGTCAGACGGTAACTCATAAACGGATCCCGTTAGTTTAATAGGAAACGCTGTTCGTAACTTCGCAATTGTCTCTCTCAAACTCAAAAGCTCCGATTTGAAACCCAAACTTAAGCGAAGATTAGAGATATCAAAGTTTATTTCCGATGAAACATTGTTTCATGTCATCAAGTTGCTTTTAGCTTTCTCTTCTGCGCAACTAAAGATCCAGAAAAGGAACAAATGAGATGAATATTCTACAAAGGCATGGAGATCACCACTCGCCTGCAGCCTTGCTGATCAAGTAGATTGACAAAACCATGAGAAATAAGTTTTCCATTTTGAAGAAGAAGGGTGATAGAGAGCTTGAAGGAGGATTGAGTTTTTGGTTTGGTACAATATAAAAATAGATAGAATTTTATTCTGAAATCTTAGAAATGTTACACATGACGTAAAAAACAGTATTTTTCTTTTGAATTAAATTTAACGTTAAAAAAAAATTTCTACAACAATAGTTTCCTTTTGGCAATCATTTGGATGTCCTTTGGAACACAATTGATACAACATATGTACAGTGCAGTCTATCTTCATTTCTGAACCATATGGCAATGATGAGACAAAGAACCTTGCATGACATTAAGAATTTGCAGATGCTGCATGACTTGTCTTATGAAGAGCGACCAAGACATGGGGTCCTGAGCATTGCGAGCCATGTTCTCAATAGAAGACAGAAAATCATAAAAGATAGATGTGGAATTCTCTACAAATACTCCATAAAGAAGGGTGTAGAACTCTACAAATAAGAACAATCTTTCATGATGTCAAGCTCTTTGGTTCCAGTCAGTTTTTTATATGATGAACAAGCTGCATGAAGCTCCTAGCTACAACAACAAAACACTTGGGATCTCAAGGATATACTCAAACTTGAAAATGAAGCATCATCTTCTTAAGCTGCCTGCTTAGCAGACAAAATGATGTTAACATAATTATAATCAAAGATCACAGTTTTACAGAAAAAGTAGTTAGAAAAAACAAATCTGGTGTACTCAAGAAACAAATCACTATCTTCCACTAAAGTTGAGGACAAATAGAAAAAACAATAATGCTTTTTTTTCCCTTAAATCACTCGTGGAGGAATAAACAATGGTCTTCGTTTTGAATTTCTTCATCTTGTTCTTGCATCCTAGGACTTCTACTTTCACATTTTCGATCTCAAGCTTCAGCTCATTCATTACAATCATCTCATCAACCTTCAGCTCCTTCACCTACTTAAACAAGTGAACATTCTAAAATGCATATACAGAGATAAGAGAGTTATCTACTTAAGCTAACGCATGAATATAATGAGTCTAGTTAAGCTTACCTCTTTAGGGAATGAACACAATGAAAGTAAGGACGTTAATGATTAGCTTTGGAACAGAATGTTGATTCGTTAGCAATTTGTCCTGTTTCTTGACAAATGTTCTTCCTCGCATCTTGCTGGATTTTGACTCTTCTCCCCTGAAATCAAATTCGCTGATCGCCAATCGTCTTCACTTGAGTTAGGGTTTTAAATTGGGAATTTTGAGTTTAAGAGAGACAGACGCGAACAGCTTTTCCTATTAACTAACGGATCCGTTTACGAGTTACCGTCTGACTTTTTTAATCCTTGATTTGCCAAGTCAACGTTTAGTTGGGGACTAAAATCATGCAAGCAATAGTTCATGATTAAACTTGCTAATTTCACATAGTTTGGGATTAAAATGCCCATTTTTATGAACTAAACTAACCAAAATCATCCGGTTTGTATTCAGTATTTGGCTCAGTTTTGCCAGAAAAAAAAACAATTACCTGATACAATCAAGTCAAGTAATAATTATTACTCGTACGTGCAAATTAAATATCAAGTCTATTTTTATTTTTAATTACTGGATTTGTTATTTGTTATTGTTTATTTGTCCTTTTGGTTTATTAAATATTCGATATCTATATTGATTAGTTAATTAATATTTATGTTTTGAATTCTATAAGTGGCCATAATTACTTTTTATTGTCTTCTATTTGCTACTTGATCGGTACATGATTTTTAAAGACGAGTACTTGTTTTGAATAATGCGAATCAAATAATCTATTTAAATCACTTACAAGTACGAGAAAAGTATTAAATATTAAAATAAAATTAACTATGTAGCAGTGTTTGGTTTGCTACTTTTTTTTTAATGAACAAATATACATTCTCCTAAATCATAGTAAAATAACTCAGATATATTTCTATTTTTGGAAGTGAATTAAGCATAAGCAATATATTTATATAAATATCTTGGAATTTTTTTTATATTCTATTTTCCGAACTAACTAAAACACATAAAAAACAATTAAATATTATTTATATATAATAAATTTATTAACTTTTAAATTCTAATGATTTACTAAATAATTTACCAATAGTTATTAAGTAACCTGCAACACTATAAGAAAACTTGTCCATTACTAAGACGGGTTTTCCTCGTTATTTCCTAGTAAATGGCCTTTTACTAGGAAATAACGAGGAAACGCGTTTCCTCGAAACACGTTCATCGTAAAGCCATTTTCCTCGTAAGGTCCTAGCGAATTTACGAAGAAATGTTTCCTCCTAAAGGCGTGGTAATATTTTCTTCGTAAGGTCCTCGTATGCTTTCCTCGTAAGCTCGTAGTAAGCTTTTCCTCGTAAGATCGTAGTAATAGATTACGAGGAAATTACTAGAACTTGTTACGAGGACATTACTTGGAATCCTTTACGAGGATTTTGCTTGGAAATATTTTTTTCCCTATTAAAAAAAATAATTACAAATAATTAATTTATTAAAAAATAAAAAATAAAATTATAAATAGAAAAATAAAAAATAAATTTTTTTATAAATAACTAAATAATATACAAAAAGTTTTTAAATTCCTAATATACAATTAAAAATAAAAAAAACTACGGATGCTGGTCGTGAAATTGCTGAACGAACTGGTCGTCGTCCTGGCTCGGCAAATCCTCTCCATAGTTGGTTGCCGGCTGTGACTGTGATGGTGGATGCTGTTGGGTTGGATTCCCTCCACGTTCCCGTCTCTGACGCAACATCTCCTGCACATGCGGGTTTCCAACCGCCATAATGTCGAGGACATCGGTGAGAGAAGTCAGATGCTCGGTGAGCGAAGTCACATGAGACTGCGTCGCCTGCAACTCCGAGCGCAGCTGAGCATTGACATTGTGCTGCTCCTGATGATAAGACGATGTCGCTGCAGGGACATCGTTAACCGAGCCAATCCCGATGATACGCCCCTTTTTCCTGGGGCGACCTGGAAATAAAAATATTAATAACATTAAGAAATTTTTTTAAAAAATATTAAAACATATGTTTTCGCCGTCCCGTCGGTAAGGATCTAACTCTGCTAGCCCTTCTCTGCCTGGAAGGGCCAAAATATCCTCTACCGTGTACACCACAAAGGGTGCGTTCGGCGGCACCTGCAAATCGGGATGAACCCCGACCGGTGGAGGAGGAGGAGGAGGAGGTGGTTGCCGGGACGCCGTAGAAGCTCTCTGAGTCTCGGGAATCGAAGATGAACCGGGAGCTGACGAAGATGAACCCGGAGCATCCTGACGCCCAAACATATCTCCGTAGCTTATCCTCTGAGAGACGACGTCCTCTTAGCAGCAGCCTTAGCAAGCTTGCTCTGTCTAGGCATCTATATTTAAAAAAAAAAAAAAAAATCAAAACATTAATTCTCGTATAATTAAAAAAAACAGTAAATAAAAGTAAATCAACCTAATCTAAATTACCTAAACTAACCACCTAATCTAAATTACCTAAACTAACCACCTAATCTAAATTCCCTAAACTAACCACCTAATCTAAATTCCCTAATCTAATCACCTAACTACGGATTAGAGAGAACCTTTAGAGGATTTAGAGAGAATGTTACTAGCAAATGAGAAACCGGATTGCTCGAGTATATATAAGGAATTTTGTTTCCTCGTAAATCCCTAGTAATGTTACTAGGACCTTATGAGGAAATAGCTATGCCCGTGTTTTTATTTCCTCGTAAGGTCCTCGTAATGGCTGTACTAGGGCTTTACGAGGAAAACCCTTTACGAGGAAATAGCTATGCCCGCGTTTTTTTCCTTGTACAGCCCTAGTAAGGTCTTACTAGAACATTACGAGGAAATTGCTATGCCCGTGTTTTCTATTACTAGGGCTTTACGAGGATCAGGTTTATAAATCCCTAAACTCAAAACCCCAAACCACAACTTCCTTAACTTATAACCTCTTCTACAACCAAACTCCTAACCTCTTCTACACATAAACCCCAAACCCCAAATGCAAATTGATTTTGTGATTAAAAAACTTAAAACATATATAATCCAAATTGATTTTGTGATTAAACAAACTTATAAACATACATAATTCATTCGGATACATTGTCGTAATCTGTTGAAACATCATCATTTTCTAAAAACTCGTCGTTACACCTTCGTCCGTTGAGTGACCAGGAACATATTCGTATTGACGATTATGCGGATCAATGAGTAGGAACTCATCAATTTCTGCTTCAGCTTCCTCGATCTCATTGGTGTTTTCTTCTTGTAATGGTGGTTTTTCTCCAGCGATTATTCGTCCTGGAGGTGTAACTTT